CAATGTAACTTAACAGTGTTCAAGTGTGGAGTTGTTGTAAACGTTGGCTAACACAGCTAAAGTTATAACTATAATGCTAAAGTTACATCTGATGTGAAAGCTACTGTGCAAACATTCAAATTGTTTGGCCAGTTTTTATGTAAAACTGAGTTGAAATATGGTGATTTTGTAGTGGTTTATGGTAAGATGTGGAACAATGATGTTGTGGACTTGTGAGTAACTTGTACCATCTGCTAGGTTACGGTCACAGTCTGAAGCGGCTTTGATTTGGATCACACTACCTTGTTTCTTACGACCCGCCCTTCTCTGCTTCTGATTGGCTGGTAGTTCTTGCCTGGGAACTGCGCATGTGCAACTCCCAACAAAGATTTTGTACAAGTAAGATGCATCACTCTGTAGCTCAAGAGCGGAGCCTTCAACACACAGGGTGAAAAGAGGAGCTGCAGCAATGTGCAGAATGAGAAAAAATATGGTGTTTTTTGAAAATTAAACCATGTAAACCTGTTCTGGTACAACACCTAATTAAGATTTTGAACCTGAAAATGAGCATAATACCACCTCTTTAACTTCTTGATGATTCATTTGTGTAGTACAAGTAAAATTGTTCAGAAAACACAGCAACTTGTACAGCCAGTCTAGGGCAGCCAAATACCTCAGGATGGGTAAAAATTAATTGTGAGTAAAGTCATTAATTTATTAACTAACTACATTCCAGGTGCCAAACTACAATGACCAGTACAGAGTGGAAGGTCACGTGACATCATGTCCAAACCTACAGTCAATAGTCCAAACACACCTACTTTTTTGTTTATATATTTTTTTCTGTGTGTAACAATGCAGTTTAAATTGAAAGACAGTGATCCATTCCAAGCAGAAATAATATATACATTTAACGAATCAGTAGTACAGGAACATGTGTACAATTAATGTTAAACGTTAAGAAAAAATGCATTGCATGATGTTGCAAAATATTAAATAAATCACATAAGGAATTGTTTGATCAGAATCAATTTGTCAGGCAAGCACATTGACTTATCCTGCACTGGTGTTTTGGTAATGACCATATAATAAAACTCAATTTAACACACACACGTGTGTACAGACCCCACATAACACACACATGGTGCGGTGCAACTTGAAGACAAAATGTCCTGTGTCTCTCTGCCTCTATAAACGAAGGCTTCCTTATGTTTCAGAGACCACTGGGGATATATTTTTCTGCTCCCTGCTTTTCCCTCTCATCTCCTTTGTAGAATACCGCGGGAGGCTGGTTTGGGTTTCTCTGATGTGTGTGTGTGTGTGTGTGTGTGTGTGTGTGTGTGTGTGTGTGTGTGTGTGTGGGAGAGGGAGGGAGGGAAGAGAGAGACTGCAATAGTCAAGAGGGATGTCGTTCTTACAGTCTCACCATTTTGGGATCAGGACAGGAAGTGGGCTCAACAGAGGAAACATGACCTCCTCCCCCTCGCCCTCTATCCTCTTACTTTTTCTTGTATTCCCTCTTCCTCCCTTTGTCTGTCCCTCCCCCAGTCTTCCAGTGTCTAGCCATTCACAGGGTCATTTCGGTCTTTTTTGGTTGCAGAAATCCCGTAGGCTGTCACATGTGTTTGTACGGTGTTTGCGTTTAGATCTTAAATTACATTCTACTCACTTCCTGTGTAAATAAATCTATGCTAACTAGTGATTTCTGAAACAACGCTGACACTCTGGTCTAGTTATTTCTGGGCTCCCTCCCTCTCTCTTGAGATCTGCAGTTTGTTATGTATGAGAGATCCTCTGATTAAAAGCCAAAGCAAAGGTCAGACTCTGCTGGGTAACGGAGATATCGCCCAACTTCAGCTTTACTCTCATGCCCAGTGGTCTGATATCTGTAGCTGATGCGCTTCTTGTTACATTATGTGGAATGAAAGCCTTCGGTTAGCCTCCAGGCTGTACATCAGTATAATATTACTTATCCAGAGCCTCAACTCTCGGCTTGTTGGCTTTGCAAGACAGCTTCTTGTGTTCATAAAACTGCCCCAGGACATCAGAAAAACAAATTTGAATTAATTTTTTTCCCCACGTCTCCTTCGTTTAAAAAAAAAAAATCCTCTGCCATCCCCCTCTATTTCCCCCTCTCTGCTAAACTTTCTACCACTTCTCATTTTCCAGCTCAGAAGGTCTTGACCTCTTGTTTTGGCGTGTACACACTCAAACATACACAGACGCCCACACTGAGAAAATGAAGAAACAGCATGTCAGCAAACGGCAGTGTATTTCACCACAGAGCACAGAGTGCCAAGGCACTGGGAAACAAAAAACAAAAGCAGCAGACCTTCCTCTTTTAATCCCCTGCCTCCATCCTGCTCCCATTTAAAAGTCTGTCGCCTGTTTCTTTGTTTCATCCCCCCCCCCCCGACGTTTTTCTTTCTGGTCGTTTTCTCTTGGACACAGTGCAATGACACTTACAAAAAACTTGTATAAGTGTAAAAGGTAGGTTATAGTTAACAACAAACGTTACAGTTACAGTGATAGTGTTAGACAGAGTGGTGTTTGTATTGTAAGGTTACCACAGTACACACAGTGTCAGTCAAATACTTTTGTCTGACACTACATACATTATTCTATGTACAAGATGTATGAACATGCACAAAAGGACCATAAATCACTATGGAAACACACAAAAGCACATACAAATTACACAGTTTAATACAGTATTATAATAAGGCATGTGGAAGTGCTCATGATTAGCCTCATTCCCCTCGAGGCCATTTGGATTTAAAACTCGGGGTGGGAGGAGCAGCCCAGCTGTGTCCTACTGCTGCGTACCAAAATGCATGTTGGGAATCAAATCAACATTTTTCATTTCATAGATTCTCCACTTGAGAACATATTAGAAAGAAACTGATTTAAAGAATCCAAGGAAGGATGTGGTTTCAAATTGAACATATTTTGAAAATAAATGCTTCTGGTTGGTTGGCAAGCATCTATTAAAATCACATAACAGGACTTCTCATAGTTCTGCTTAACAGTTTTACCACCATCATAAATCAGTGCACAATAAGTATTTTCACTATTATTTTATTATACTGCAAGTAACCATAGCAATAGTGCTTTTTCTTTATGCTACATTACCAGCTAACTCTCACTGGTGAAACAGGGCTGCAACTAGTGATTATCTTTCATTAGTGATTCATCTGTTGGTTATTGTTTTGATTAATCGTTTAGTCTTTAAGTCTTTAACCTGCATTAAGTGATTTTATTGGCTGCCTGGGGGCATCGCAGCAAGCTGTAACCACAACAGTGACATATGCTCTGTGGCCTCTGTTGTAACGCCTGGTTATGTGAGTTTATTATTCAGAGGGTCCTATCACCATATAAAGTTGATATAGCTAGCGTATTAGAAAGCAGTCGTTGATTATTATAAAAGAGCAACATTAATTTGGAATTGTGTTTGTGGTCACGTCATGAATTTAAAACCAATTTTCAGACCAACTTCTGAGGTAAAGAGCTGGCTCTTTAGCTGCTCCATTATTTTCACCAGTTAGCTGCTGACTTTGTCTGCCTGCTGTTTGGTGCTGGACAGGTAGTGTAGCGTGGGTTTATTGCTGAAAACAGCTGGGCACTGTTTGAGAGAACCGAGTGGTGGACCGCAAAACCAAAACACTGAGCTGAAAATGTCTGAACATCTGAGGAGGAACTGCAGAGTTGAATAATAATTTCCCTGTGGATTCATCACTATGAGCGACCGCTTTCACATTAAACACAATCATTGTTCTATTGTTAATATAAAAATATCGACATGTGCAGCTTTAAAATGACATCTTGAAATTACCTGCTTTGCCCAACAAACAGTCCAAAATTCAAACCCATTAAGCTCCCAATATTATAACACAGAAAAAAACACAGCAAATTGTCACATTTGAGAAGCTGGAAACAGCATGTTTTCTTGATAAATTAATCAAAACTGTTGCTGATTAATTTTCAATCAATTGAATCATCCATTAATCAACTAATTGATAAAGCACTAGACGCGACCAGTGGCTTAAATGAGTACAAACTAATTTAATATAAATGACGATTGGTTCTCTATGGTATTAGCGTGGTAATAAACTTAGGGGTGTCCTGATATAGAAAATACCTGACTTGTTGAAGGAAAGAAACTCATTGTGTATCATCTGCAAACTTCCCTGTGTTATTGTTCAGTCTGGCTAGTTTTAATGTTTTGTGCCAGTCCTCTAGGTAGACATCCTGCTCTGACTGCTACAGAAGTCCAAAATGGCCACCGGCCATGTAAGAATAAGGTCATTTACAGTTCAACCCTGTCATTCTCTGCTGTTCCCTTCACGTTTACAGGACAAAAGAACAGGAACAAGTAGTGTAACCATATACCACAGCCTTCCTGTAAATGGGGTACTTATAATATGCCTCAGGCAAGTCTAGTCTATTGTAGTGCTTCTAAAGGGATGTTGGTGGGAAAATAGAAGAAATGCATAGCGAAAGAGATTAAACGTAATTTGTGCAAGACCAGGAGGTGTGTGTTTCTGTAAACTAAGAAGAGTCGCTAATTTGACCGTCTCTTGCTGGAGAGGGAGGAGACGTACAATCTGTCTATTGTGCCAGAGAGGAGAGGGTAAGACTGGTTATCTGCAGCTGTTCCTCTCTTGTATGATGGCGGGAGTAGGAGGATAAACACAAGCAGTGAAGGAGAGGTAAAGAGAGAGAGACATAAAGACAGCATGGGAGAGAGCGGGGAGCAGAGAGAGAGAGATTCATCTCTTTCCTCTGTTAAAGTTCATCAAGAGGAAGTCTTGTGCAACCTTATCACATAACAGCATATGACCAGAACGGGCCCAAACCTTCACCACTCTCCCTCTGTCACGTGTACATTGGGACAGAGCATTTTTCAGCTTGTTTTAAACTTTCTTTCTTCCTTATGTTTCCTTTCTTTCCTCACTCCAACTTCTTACTCACACAGCTTGATCTCGCTACTTTCCAACTGGCAGCAGTCTGGCTTAGTTTAGTGACAGGGTTGTCATTTGAGAAAAAAAAAAAAGACACTTTCAGTGCTCATGTCATGCTCATTGGTTCTTTTCTCTATTTTTTTCTTTACACTTGAGAGCTAAAAGAAGGAGAAGGTGACGGTTTTTCCAGCATACATACATTTATACAGATTAAATGCAAGATCTGGTCCTCTATGAGCCTCACAGTTTCCACAGGGGCCAACATAGGCCAACAGGTCCAGAGTCAATTCATGGCTCCACAGGTTCAGAGTTCAAAGTTCAGTTGAATCCACATTGTGAGTCAACTGGATGCTCCACAGGTCAGTGTTAATATGCAGTCATTAGCTAGAACAAAAACAGGCCTGCTCTGTAGTCCTCCAGCCCTGGATTTGTGGCTGGTTTCACATTTTACAGTCAGAGAAGCTGTCGTCTGCACTGTGAAGGTCACTGCAGCATGATATCTTTGAGGTTTTCCTGCAAGATGGTGTCCTTGACGGCGTGAAAGACAAAACGGATATTTTCTGTGTCTACTGCAGTGGTGAAGTGGTGGAAGAGCGGCTTCCCCCGGTTTCTCCTCTTACGGCTAAACGACTGCACCAAGAACGCCTGGAAGGAGCAGAGCAGGTACACTTGAGTATCTGATTTGAATCTGACTTCTTAAACATTATGTATATGAGAAACCCTGTTTCCGTAATCAGGGCAGGAGATTGGACAAAACCTGATTTCTTCAGTAGAAACTTGATCTCTTGGCCAGGGTAACCACATTTATAATCTGCTTTTTACATGTTTACATTTACACATGTGCCTGACAGACTTTAGAAAGATAAAATCACTGGGGGGCTGCAGGACGAAAGGAAAAGATTAAAAGTAACAGTACATCCTCATATTCTAAATATTTCCATCCAAAAAAACAACAATATCCAAGTGTACAGAGCTGAACATTTGAATATTTAAAAAATTCTAAGAGTAAACTCTTAGATAACCACAAGGAAGAAAAGGGACAGAAAACAGAGAGACAGGCTTAGTAAGTGTAACAAAGAAGTATAGGTATAAGAAGAGGAAAACTAGTTTTAAGAAAGGTATTAAAAGTAAATCTATCATTAAGCCCTCTGCGGACCGAGATGTTCAGTCTCATCAGAGGAGGTGTTATGCCAAATAATCTTTCCCAAAGAGAGATGCCTATGGCCAAAACATGTCAGCAATGAAATTTCAACAAAATGTGAAACTCTACAAGCATTGATTGCTTCGATGGTGTGCCACCTTTTTCTACTTTTGAACCGATTTGTGTGGGTGCATGAAAGCATACTGGGTTCATATACAACAGTTGGAGGAGGAAAATAAGGAGCAACGACAAAACAATTTGCAGGAGTAATTAGTTCAAAAGCTGAAAAATGGTGCCTCATAATGCTGTCAACATTAAAAACATCTTTGTTTTCAGTGTGTGCGTGCGTGCGTATGTGTGTACCTGTACATCCTCTAGCCTGCGCGGGTCTCCTCTGTATTCTGGAAAGTACTTGCGGATGTCCACCGTGCGAATCTTTTCCACCAGCAGGTCCGTTTTGTTGAGGAAGAGAATGATGGACACGTTGAGGAAAAGCTTGTTGTTGACGATCGTCTCAAAGATATTCATACTCTCCACCAGACGGTTTGTCCTTCGATCCTCCATCAAGACCTGGAACCACACACAGAGACACACACACACACAAACACAATATTCCGTTGGTTTTTTTCAGGTTTTATCTGTGCACCAATTAAGATTCAGTCGTCATCATATGACTGTTTATTTGAACCGCAGCCACGAGCAAGGGAACAATCAAGTTTCCACAGCCAACCACAAAGAGAGCTTTGTGTAAATCTCAAATGTTGTGTCTCTCTGATGTTGCTTGTCCATTTCGTAATTCTAAAAGTCAAGAGAATAATGATCAGACTGTCTGACTAAACCTCTTGACATCTTAACATCAGCATTGCATGACCAGAACTGTATGTGTGCTTGAATGGTACCTGATCGTACTCTGATGATGAAACCATGAAGAGTATCGATGTGATCCCGTCGAAACACTGAAACCACTTCTGCCTCTGAGACCTCTGCCCTCCGACATCCACCATCTTGAAAGGAATCTTCTTGATGATGAAGTCATGCTCGACAATGCCTTTAGTCGCCTTCCTTGCAAACAAAATGTCCTGCTTGCTTGGGATAAAATTCTGAAAAGGGGGAGATATAACCATATTCCTACAAGTTAAAAGAGGTGAAGAAATACAAACAGCACTCAAGATCTAACTAGTCACTGTGACTCACCAGTTGACCAATACGATCCAAGTTATCCAGGAAGTACTTGACTGACTCACTCTGCAGACAGGAAGAAAAAATGCAACCGAGTCATCTTTTATGCATTAATCAAACTTAAAAGACCCAATTGAACCACTTAGTAGAATTACTAGAACAGTTTCATTTTGTGTATTTCTTCCTTATTTAATTCACATTTAAAGGAAGCTGTCATACTGTGGTTATTGATGTAATAATAGATCAATCGATGCTTTCTCCTCAATCAGCAACAAAGGACAGAAACTATGTGACCAACCACAATGATTTCAGTCCCATTATTTTTAATAAAAAATACTCTGCGACTTGTGAAGCTACTTTTATAGACAGGCTTGACCAACAGTAAAGTATTCAACAACAACAATGGATCAAATCGGTGTGAGTAATTTTAAAACGGTCTCGCCAAAGTTAGCGACTAGCTGGTGAACATAGTGGAGCATTTAGTAGCTAAAGAACCAGATATTTCTCTCAGGAGTTGGTGGAGAAAAGCTAAACAGAGCTAAAAGGAGAGTGAATATTTGACGTCAATTCATTGAGCAGACAGGAACATGACTCCAAATAAATGGTACTGTTGCACCATGTCTGCTGGATCTGTAAATAGGCAAATGTTTGTTTGTTCGCCATAAAAAACTTTATAAGGTGACATGTCGATGTTTTGTTTACAACGTGTTCTGCCACCCCTGCTAAGTACACAAAAGTCAATTAATGCAGCTTTAAGATGAATGAAACCTACAAAAACTAGACATCCCACGCATAACAGCTGTTCCTACAAACATGTACAGATCTTGTTAGTCTTAAAGTGCAGAAACTTGCACACTGGATGAGAGGTGGGCTGTGATTTAAACTGTGTTACAAGGCAACCACTGAAATCATTCGAGAACGTGGATTTTTGTGACTTTGAGAACTTTACTTGAACAGAAACAGACGTCCATCAAAAAGAGCTTCTGATAATTTGTGGTTCCAGAAAAGGACAAAAATAGAGATAACATAATGTAGGCCACAAAGGCCGTGAGCTGTGCAAAGACAAAGAAGTGAATGAACTTCAGGTGGGCTGAGTTGCAGTGTCGGAATATAACTTTGCTCAAGTACTGTACTTAAGTACTAGTAGTATTTCTAGTAGCAATTTTGAGGTACTTGTACTTTACTTTCCACTATTTCCTACTTTATACTTCTAGTCCACTACATTTCTGAGGCAAATATTGTAGTCTTTACATCACTATATTTATTTAAAAACTTCAGTTACTAGTTGCTTTGCTGATTCAGATTATCAATACAATATATAGTCATCAAATAAATTATGTTGTAATATTATAGATTAAGATAAAACTTTATTGATCCTGAAAATTCACAAGCTACCCAGCAGACAAAGTATTAAGAATTTGAAATGTACACATTCATGCATCAATAATAAACAAAACAATAATATATATGATTCTGCATAATGAGTACTTTTACTAATGGCAGTTTAAGTATATTGATATGCCAATACTTTTGTGCTTTTAAGGAAGAGTTTGAATGGAGGACTTTTACTTGTAAGTAAAAGATCTGAATACATCTTTCACCACTGCTGAATTATAAAACAATTCCCATATTTCTTCCAGCACATGATGTAGACAGTCCTGATACCAGTCATAAAAATCAAACACGTTTTATCTCCAGACCCTCCACATCCACTGAATCAGACTAGAACGGACTCGGCACAGTCTGTGTTGATCAAATCAGATATCTGCACAACAATTATAATGGGTGTCCCTGCAATGAAGCACACCAGGTTTTATATGGTGGAACAAAACAGCGTGTATCCACATTTTAACACTCAAAGTACAAATCATGCCCATTTTAGATTTTTTAACACAAGCTGTACAGTTTAGATTTATTTTTCCTGCCGTTTCAGGCCGCAGTTGAGCTTTTTTCATTTCTGTATGGTATGAAAATCAATTACCAGACACTTGAAGCTTGAGTCGTATAATCCAGCACAGTGAACATCAAGTCTGCATTCATTTTTGTCAGTGCTATGCTGTTGTTGAGCGTTAATGGGGTTTAACAGCAGGCTGATCTTCACTGTAATGGATTACACAGCTAATTGATGTTCATACTATTGTGGGTGCCTGGAACAGCAGCACAAGTACATTCAGTCATCTAAAGCACATCTGCATGATTGGCAAAATGGTTTACTGTGGTGTGACGTACATATGTTTTGTACTAAAGGGGCTTAGAGATTCAGCCTCTAATACAGTACACACTGTACATAGACCATAAAGCTGAAACATAAGTTTTATAATTTTTCTTTATACTTATGAAGTGACTCTCTCTCTCTTCCTCCCTCGCTCTCTCCTTACAAACACACACACATTAACACAACATTAAACCCACACACCCAACAGGAAACAGCTGTGTGTGTGAAAACAGTGGGAGAGACATGGGGGAGGGAGGGATTAGCAAGTCAGACAG